AAAAAAAAAAAAAAAAAAAAATACTTGGACTGAGAAACCAATGTTGAAAGGGATACTCAAGTTGATGAGCAGTGATTGAGGTTGATAAAGAAGAAGAAGCCTTAGCACGTTGCCTTCCTCCCTTCTTCGCCGATTCATGGCCATGTATGGCCGTTGCCTGACACCCTTACAGGAAAGTCATAGCAATAATGATCGTAATAATAACGGTAACGATAACAATAACAAGAACTGTAGTTAGCAATAACAATAATAGTGATAGCCGTAAAAATATTATTACGGATAGTAATAGTGAGAGTAAGAGTGATGGCAATAGCAATAGTGATGATTAGTAATAGTGATGGTAATAGTAGTAATGAGGTAATAGTGATGGTTAGTAATAGTAACAGTGATGGTAATAAGAACAATGACAGTAATAATGATAGTGATGGCAATAGGCATTGTAGCAGCAATACTAACAGTGATACTATTGAAAAAAGTAACAGTTAGGACTATCACAACTTCTTATTCGAGGCCGGCAGCTAGGATGAGATCGGCATTCATGATCGTAGACAGGCGGTGCGCAATGGCGATCACGGTGCGGCCCTTCATGAGCTGCTCCAGGGCTTTCTGAACCTGCAGAAGGCTCCAAAGAAATTTGCAGCTTGGCAGATGAAGTACCGTCTTGGCATGTTGTAGATGTAGATTTTGGGTCCTGGGTTTTGAGTCCTAGTAGAAAACGGGGCAAGCACGCCATGCATCTCAACACATCGCAGTTGCCACTCTGACTAGCCTTGCATATCGGCATGCATTGTGCCTCCCATTGTGCCCTTGAGGATCCCGGCTAGACTCGTGCATTCGTGCAGGCTTTGTGCGGAGGTTGTTGAGGACAGAGCGGGTTTTTGCCCAAGTTTCACAGTTCGCCTGTCCAAGCACACCAAACATGGTTTTAATAGTCTTCACAGCCAACTTGTTCAGGGTGCTGTGAGGCAGTCCGCACATGCATGGAAGCTGCTTATCCAGAAGCATTCAATATACATCAGCACTAGGTCTAAACCTCGGCGGTTAGACTCACCTAGAACCCTCGACAAAATCTCTGCTAGCAGATGAGCCTTGCGCTCAGACACGGTATCCAGGGCCGAAGTGGCCTCATCCAGGAGAAGAATCCTGGGATAGAAGGATATTAATATTAATGATATTGATATGAATAATATTGATATTAATCATATTAATGTTAATAATACTAATATTAATAAATCAATATTAATAATAGCAATCTTATTCATATTAATATACATTTAATAGTATTGATATTAATGGAGTCAACGGCATCCATACATCTTGTTCTATCATGGTCTGCCTTGTTCTTGGAGTAGGCACGAGCAAGGATTAAAAAAGTTCTGGACGGCCTTGCACTGATCAAGGAGAATCAAATACAAAATCAATGGAAACTGGGGCTGTATAGGGGCCACATTCAGTAGTTGCGGTCTCACCATTTTTCTGTGGAGCAAGACTGCTCTGAGACCGAGCTATCCTGGGTAAGGTTGAGGCCATACATAGCGATAGCCACTACTGGTCTAAGGCCCATCACTCATGTTCCTGTTAGGGGTGGGGCTCGGGTCCCATTAGCTTGAATTTACACATTCGTGCTTCACGGAGGATGCACGGGTCCTTGCCATAAGTGAGGACAAGCCCTCGTCAATCTCCGAAGCTAAAGAAGACAGAGCTCTGGGGCATCAAATCCTGACTCAGATACAATACCTATGACAGCTCAAGCCACCCAAAGACAAGAAAGCCTGGGGTCTTTCCTCCCTGATATGCATCTGCTTCATACTTAGCCATGGACCGAGACTAGCTGGCGCAGACCCACACAGCGGTACAGCTCTGGGCCATCATGATAAAGAAGAATCCTTTTCGGTTTGAATCCTGTCTCTACAGGCCAAGATGCTTGGGGTTCGTGAGCACAGCCCGTGCAATGCTGAGCCGCTGCTTCCTTGGCTCTGGAAGCAGTCCAAGAATGTATCAGAATGTATCTCACGTTTGGGCTTAAGCTCGGCGGATCAGTTTAGGGTTTAGGGTTTA